ACACACACACACACACACACACACACACACATACACACACAGGGCCAATGCAAGGATTTTTGCCTACACAGGCGAAGGTGCATTTGTCACCCTGCCCCCCGACCCAGTCCGCCCCTGGGTCAGACTAATCCAGCACGTTATTAATCTGAGTGCCCCACTCAAAATGGCCGCAAGCGATGAGCATACTGAGCGGTGCAACTCAGATTAATAATGTCTGAAAGATGTGGACTGGGAGGGGCTCTTTAAGACTGCTCTGATCACACCGCTCTGCGCGCCCTCTCTCTCCTCCCGGCCGCTTCAGCTCCAGGAAGCGGGCACTCAGAGAGACGGCTCTGATCACACCTCTCTGCGCTCCCTCTCTCTCCTCCCGGCCGCTGCAGCTTCAGAGCGGCTGGGAGGAGAGAGACGGAGCGCTGACAGGTGCGATTAGAGCCGCCTCTCTGAGTGCCCGCTTAGTTTCTGAGTATTTGGGTGAGTACTCGCCCAAATGCTCCGATACCTTCCCATTTCCGGTAAATTTTCTCTGATATTGTATTTACCAAATTCTAAGACCTGCTACGGACCAGGTGATTTTTGTTTGACGTGATATTTAAACTAGGGGGGGGATGTCCTGATACCAGCCCTTTTAAATATTTAAACACGAGTGGCTGCCTGATGTCCCGCCCTTAGCATCCGCTAAGACCAACAAGGCTATGGACAGCACTTCACCTGTCCGTACAGCCCTGGAGCCTGGAACTTGCCTGAAGAGACACATGCAGCCCTGGTGAGACTGTACACAGCCCTTTATAATCATGGATTGCTGAGATTTGTAGTCCTCTATAGCAGGTTGCCATTCTCCATTGCTGTATAATCAATGGCAACTGGCTATAGAGGACTACAAATCTCAGCAATCCATGATTGTTGGCTGCCATTCTCCATTGCTGAATCATGAATTGATGGGATCTGTAGTCCTCTATAGCTAGTAGCCATTCTCCATTGGTGAATAATCATGGATTGGGTTACAGTTCTTCATAATTATAAAGAAACTTCCCTAAAATCATCCGTCTGTATTGTTTTAGAAAAAAATGTCACGTCCATTTTAAGAGAAAGTAACGTTAATTGGTATCGACAAGGTGAGGGAAAGTACATGTACTTGGTTATGGAAAAACAATGGTATTGGGACATCCCCAATTAAAAACCATATAATTCAAAGAGGGTGTACTTTTTCACATGACCTAGATCTATATATAATATCTCCAGGGGTTATGAAATACTACAAAATGAAATCTGTCTCTAGAATTATTACATTCATTTCATTTGGGTATGGTGTTCCATGTCTGAGAAGTTGTCAAAACTATCACAGCATTGAAAAGTAGTCTGGAAATAAAGGAGTATACAGACTACAACTCAAATGGTTAACCTCCTGAAACTTAAAGCTGCTTCTAGTTGGCTGCACTCTGTATGGGCAAGTCCTAATGACAGTGCCTCTTCTGTCATGAGCCATTCTGATTAGTTATGTGCATTTATTTTAAGTTGGTAGTAGATACAAATCATTGATGGGAGATACAAAATTGTGCACACTTTTAAAAGAGAAAATGATCCCCTAGAGCAGCGGTCACCAACTCGTGGTCCCTGGGCCCCTCTGATGCCCGTGCAGGCTGGGCCGTCATTGAAGCGGCATGGAGGCTCCGGGGCTGTTATATATATATATATATTGATGTATATACACAATGTGTATGTATGTATATACACACACACGAGAATATATTTTTATATGAGAATACAAAAAATATGAGATATATTTTTTAAATATCATAGTAGTGGTCCGTTGGATTTAAAAGGTTGGCGACCGCTGCCCTAGAGGACCATGAAGCAGTGTGACTAAAAACTGTCCCCATATATTGGACGTTTTTCTGTTCAGGTGCATACTATGGGATGACCTCATACAGCTGTATTGGGCAATACCAGAACTAACTTGTTGGGACATTTAATGGCATTGATGGAAATGTTACTTTTGTACACCTCTGCTGCATACCTCCTTTATTTGCTCAGACTCGCATGCTCCTGCTAATAGTGTACACATAATGAGATGACCATTGCTTAATTTGCCAATGATGGTAAATGGATCCAGAAGCCAGCATTCTCTGGGGGTTGGCAATAGAAACCTATTTATCTCTCTTGGTAAAATAGTCCAATATGGAAGAGCAGCTAATAATAGATGAGGTATGAAAGATAAGTGGGATAAGCAGACAGAGGTCAGATGTAGGTGCATATTGTGACCAGCACAGCTGGGGAACATCTTCATTCAAGTGGGAAAGCTGAAAGCAGTGAGATGGCCGGTGATTTACACAACTGTCTGAGGATAAAACACTGCTCTCTGTTACAAACACTTGTCACAATCTACAAGGGACTGGCTACAAATATCGCTGTTTTAAGGAGTGCGAGTTGATTTAATGATTTTCTTGACGGATGTGGAAGGATGCTTTCAACACAGAAATGGGGGGGAAAAAATTCTAATGTGCTGTTTTGAGAAATTCACAAAAGAAAGGTCTAATTCTGTCCTGAAGCCCCAGGATCTGTGTGTATTTTCCTGGTAGCCCCACTTTGACACCTTTCTCAGCAGACTATGTTCCCTATCTATGACCCCATGTGTGCGTCAGTTAAATGGTTTTCACAGAAGAGACCTGCTGAAAGACTAGACCAGGGGTAGGCAAACTTTTGCTCGCCAGCTGTGGTGATAATACAAATCCCACCATGCCTTTGGAAGTCGTGCCTGTGCCTGTCAAAGTCTTACAATGCCTTATCAGCCAGCCAACTGGCCTTTTCAAAACAAGTGCTTAGCAATATCACTCCATGGTCCATGGCTCGGTAATGCTGATCCAGTGATTTCAATACCTTTTGGAGTCACTGAATCGTATAACAAGTATGCTGATTCATAGTTCTGACTTCAATGGGTGCATGCTAATTCCGAGTCTGAAGCCAGAGTCAATCAGCATTTTTAGAAATCAGCAATGACATCCTACATATTTCTTTTAAGTGATCCTGTTGCTAGACCATTCATTTCAACATCAATCTTCCCCGAAGATTGTATGTGCATTTAACTTATTTTTGGGGGGTTATTTACTTGTAAAAGCCTCCCTTGTGTAGACATTCAAAAGCCCTATGAGTGCTGCTGGGTGCAGCCATCTTGGATGTGATGTCAACATCCCCAGCAGACTTTGGACCTCCAGCTGTGAGGCAACTACAAATACCATGAGCCATTGTAAGTATGACAGCCAGAGGCAATGCATGATGGGATTTGTGGGCTATGATGTGCAAAGAGGGAGGGGCCTGTGCTAGAGAATGGACTCTTTTGAAACAGGGAGAGGCCTGTACTATGGAATTGACTCTTCTGAAGCAGTCAAGGTGAGAGCAGCCTGTGCTAGAGAATTGGCTCTTCTGAAACAGTCCAGGAGGGAAGGGCCTGTACTAGGTAACAAGTTCAGAAGCACATTGCAAGTTAGTGGGGAAAAAAAAGTTGCAAGTAAGCATTTATAATACTTGACTTTTCAGTGCTTTTGTTGACCAGGTCTCTAAACTGACTCTACTATAGGGGTGTTGTGTCACCCTGGTAGGGGTGTTCGAGAGTAAGCTCCTTTGATGAGAGGGGCTGTATATTTAAAATTGCTGCAGAAATGCATCACTGGAACATAAATGTGTAAAATAAATAAAAAAAAGTCTAGGTCAGCTCTTTAAAACCAGACACCGTATCTTAGGAAATCACAGACAGCTAGCAAGTATGATAATAGTGTCGTATTCATGTCTGCTTATCTGCACTGCTCTTCTATGACATCCCAGGACTATGGAAATATACTTTCAGCACCTAGAGCCTGTCAGCTGACAAGTACAGGAATTGAGCTCCAACCCACTATCTGTTGGAAGGGTAGTTCCTGAACTGTAATGTATGGTGATCATATAAACTGTCATTTGTTGTAGAGGTGCATTCTACAAGACAAGATTTTATTTATGTATTATTAATGATTGTGACTTGTAAGCAAGATGTAACAAGGTGATAATGTGCAAAACGTATTCTTGCTTTCTAAGAATTTCATGATCACGTGTATAATAATGTTTATTCACTGACAATGTTCTTGTTGTGATAAGTTGAGTAGAATTTTAAATTCTGAGCAATATGTCAGCGTTCAACAAAACAATGCTCTACGGCTATACATCGGTATGGAAACTTGTTTTCAAAAAGTTCAAGTGCTTGTTTAAAGTAGGTTTATGTTGAGTCTCTTAGTGCTCAGTGTGTTAACAATGGTACTTGAAAACTGGCGACAGTTCATTTACATTAAACAGCTGAGAGCAATGAGTTAGAAATGTTTATTTTAAGCCTGACATCCTCCTTCCATAAATGGCCCTTCACTTTGCATACTGACTGCCTGCATTGTGGTAATATACAAGTCACTCATACTATGGACACACAGAAATGTTTAACTTTCACTATAGGTTTTTTTTTTTAAGGTCTGCTGTTTACAAAGGAATGTATAGTGTTGTTTTAGTTTATGTTCATTGCTAAAAAAAAAAACAACAAAAACCTATTTTTTATCATGTAACTGGAAATGGATATTCTTTCTCCATATAACCCTTAACTTCTATGCATGGTGTGC